GCTGGTGGCTGGCTATTGGCGAGCGCAAAGGGTCCTGAAACGTACACACGAAGTGATGGTCAACCTGAGGTTCATGATGCGAGAGGTTACACGCAGAGAGGACACATTGCGGAAGATGCATGCCGAACCCAAAGTCTACCCAAAATCCACAACATGCGAAAAAAACACCAAAAAAGGAAAAAAATGTGAAAAAAAGCGGAAAAAAAGGGAAAAAAAAGGGGAAGGAGGAGGGAGGAGGAGGAGGAAGGGGAGGGGAAGGACCTAAAAAAAACCCCCTAAGTCCCAGATCAATTTTTCTCTTTTCTGTTCAGCGTTGAAACTTTTTTATGTTTTTTAGTGTTCCCTCACACCAATTCCCAAAGCCAACACTCGAATGAAATGAAGTCCACGTTGAAATTTTCACAACGAGAAAAAATTACTGGGACTTAGTTAAAATTTTTAACTTTGTCCCAATAAAATTTTCTCGTTGTGAAATATTCAATATGGGTTTCATTCATTCGAATGTTGGCTTTGGGATAATACAGCATGCATAAATAACTTGTCTGTCTTAATCGAAAAGGTTTCAAAAAATTTGGACTTAGAAAAAAAAATTATCTGAAAGGACTTAGAAAAAAAAAAAATATTCGAAAGAATTATAATCAGAAAATTTGGACTTAGAAAAAAAAAATTATTCGACAGAATTATTTAATTAATCGATGAAATGAAATGATATTAATCGAATCAAAAATGTTTATACAACTTGATAAAACGTGTGAAACCTTTACGATTAATCGAGACAAAAACATGTAGTTGATTTGAATTCAACAAAACTTCAAAACTAGAAATTATAAACTAAGATTGTAAATACTTTAGAAATTATCTATATATTAATTTATTATATAGAAATCTAATGAAAAAATCTTTAAATATTGAATGAAGTGATGAAATTTTGATCAAAATTATGTTTTGTTTTATTCAAATCAACTTTTCGAAACTTTAATCAAACTACATCAACTCGATTGTTAAAATAATTGCACTGATAGAAGAAATGTATACATATTGAGAAATATTTATTATAAGTACAACTGGAATAACGTAGAATTAAATAATTCAAAATTTTGTAAAAAAATAATTAAATCAAAAAAATTTGATTTATATAATTTAAATACAAATCAATCGAGTTAATGTAGTATTTATCAAAGTTTAATTATATATGGCAGGACAAAATCAATTAAAATGTCGAGCAATTCTAATAAAATATTATACATAAGATGAAAATATCTTGAAAAGGTTCTTAACAAAACAAAATAAATATACAAAGAAGAATTTTGTTTCATAAAATACATGACTTTTACTAATCGTTACTAATTTGGAATTTTATCAACAAATTTAATTAATTGCTCAACACTTGAATTAAACAAATTTTCACTGATTACAAGTCTCGATAAAAATTGTTCTTAGAATTAGAAGAAAATAATTATATATATACATATGCATTAATTATTATATATATATATGTATATATATGTATATATATATATATGTATATATATATATATATATATATATATATATATATATATATATATATATATATGATAGTTTTGTCGACGTTGATACATATTTGTAATATTTTTGCAGCCCAACCCTCGAATTAAAAAAAAGATTAAATAACAAAATTATTTATTCCATTAAACGTTTCGACACTTGATGTGTGTCATCATTCAGTAATCAAACAAGGAAAAACAACAGAAAAATTAATTAAAATGTAAAAATTGATTGAACACTAAATTTGTGTAAAATAATAAACTACTATTATATTAACTAGCGAGAAATAGAAGGAGCACATATTGACCTCCTATATATGATGTTAATGATAGCATTACATTGTGGTCACTCCACACCACAATGTCATGTATATGATGTTATATGGTCACTCCACATCACAATGTCATGCTATCATTAACATCATATATAGGAGGTCAATATGTGCTCCTTCTATTTCTATCAAGTGTCGAAACGTTTATTGGAATAAATAATTTTGTTATTTAATCCTTTTTTTAATTCGACGGTTGGGCTGCAAAAATATTACAAATATTTTTATAATACTATATATATATATAGACTTTGTAAAAATCATGTTTATTATAATTTATTATCTAGTATGTAAACATAGAATGTAGAAAATAAAAAATATGTACAAAATTATGCTTATATAAAAATAAAATTAATTAGGCAAATTGAAATCAATGTAATTAAATGAATTCATGAAAAAATTTATATAGATGTAATTAATTTCCAGTTTACAAAGCCTAGTCGAGTCTTTTAGATATTTTGATCAAAACTTGTAATCATATTAATAAGACAGTGCATACATGCATTAATTATTGTTATAGGGAAAACACTTGATTTTTGATACTAGAAATGTAATAAATTCATTGCCATAAAATAGTGAACAATGTTCACAAGACGAAATGAAATGAATAGTAGAATAAAAAATATTATTCAGTCAAGAAGCAGTAAAATAAGGAAAGTGAAGATCTTCTGTATAAATTGCCACAAACATTATATTCAAAACAAGAGTTTGATCTAAGTATAAAATAGGTTTTACAAGTACTATGTGTAACATTTACTCATTTTAAAATATCCATTGTTGCAGCAAATTTGCAGGAATATATCTCAGCACTTGAAGAGTGACTCAATTAATGGATAATCAAAATAAAGGTAACAAAACCAATTAATTTCAGAACAAAACTTCAAGACAGTCCAGATATAAAATAAAATTATAAATATTCCAAATTGACTGTTACAATTATAATGAAAAACAAATTATTTTTCATGCCTTTGTCACATACAACAACTTAATAAGTTTAAATAAGTAAATAATCAATGTGTTTTCCCCATAATAAATAGATAAAATAATTTTCTTGTTTATCAAACATCACTTGTTAATTTAAAATTGCAAGTGATATTCAAAAACTGTTACACATACATCTGCTAAAGTAGTCACAATAATGCTCGTAAAAAGAAAAAGCAAAATATTCATTACTATAATTGCAAAAACAATTAATTAATATAGTTAAGCCTTGTTAAGAGTAATATGTTAAATATAAACTGTCTTTAAATAAGATAACGATAATATGAACTAAAACATTAATAAATGAAAAAGTAAGGATTCGATATTTTGCCAAAAGCCTTTGTAGAAATAGTATTACGATATAATTACTTGAAATAAATATTTAAACAGAATTAATTTCAGCAGATGCATGAGCATGAACGAGTCATAAAATATCTCACTGAAATATGTACATACAGACAATTTTGAATTGTGCAAATCCCTTTAAAATTGTGATTAGGCTTAGATTTATCATAGTTTTATTTTCAATTACGACATTCAAAACCGGCTTTTTAGTAGAAAATATCTAAAGGTTTTTGATGTAAGAATAAGACTTTTAAAATAATTGAATATGACAAATGTATTAAATGTAAAGAGCAAAACGATAAACGTCATCAGTTTTCTTGGTTTGATTTCTCTGAATAATTTCATTAAACAAAAAAATTAAGATTATTTACATTTGTATTAAATTTGCCTGGATTAAGAAATACTTAGTCCTTTGCATAATTATCCTTAAAACTGAATGTAATTTTAATAAGTGTGTGTGGATAAACTTTATTTACTCTCGTCTTTTATTATAATTTACATTATACAATACGCAGTTATATATTTTTGTTTACTATAAGTATCCATCTGTATCTAACAACATTTCTTTTTTAAATAATAATATGATTATTACATAATAATGAAAAATGATATGTTAAATATTTAATATGTTATAAAACATAACAGAGTATTTATTTATTGTTTGATGAATGCATGTACACATCAGTGAAGTATTCTATGACACGTTTTGTAAAAAAATTGCTTTAACTCACATTGATCCCTCGAAGAAACTGCTTGCAATCCCAAAGCTAGGCTGCTTCGAGAACACCAAAGATCACTGCTTCGAAAACACTATTTCACATTTACTAGATTACTTTCAATTCACTTAATTTATAATTTTCAAATGTCCAAGTGGAGTCTTTGCTCAACACACATCGCGACGCAAGTACTAGAGACTTTGGTGAATGAATCGTAAACATATCATTTAAAAATATGCAGAAGTACTTACAGTCTTCAGAATCGCAAATACATACACCATATATTTGATAATTGTATATATGAATATTACTAAAGGATACATTGGAATCTGTAAATAAAGTATTCGATTACAATATTAATTAGAAGGCCCATTAAAAACCTTCATAAAAGTCATTAATCTAACCCCTAAGTACTTCGGCACATATCTCTTTTAGGCACAAATTATAATTTTCATATTTTACATCAGATTGATCTGCGTAATTAGTATAGCAAATTGATATATAAATTAATTAAATCTAATTGGAAAATTTAATTAAAAACACTAATTAATTAACACATGTGAATCATTCATCAAAATCTCCATGACATGTGCACACAAACACCAAGATGGCCGGCCCCATAGGAGAAGTGAAATGTGACATAACGTCGAGAGCGCGAATTTCAAATTGGAAAACTAAGATTTAAAATTATTTGTTCAAAGTGGATAGCTTTACTAAATATAATGTTTATGCTCAATTGCCATAATGATTTTTTTTAATTGTGTTTTTTTAAGGTTAGATGATCCTGAAAATTGTAATATTTTGTAATAATTGATCCATAGATAAAAGAAGAGTATGAATTGATCTTTCTTCAACTTAATAAAATATTTCCATCTTTTGACCTCTCATAAAAATATCGACTATTAGTTTTGATTTCTGAGTATATTTTCTTATATATAAAACAAGATTTTTTTAAATCGCCTTTTTTTGACTTCAGAATGAAAACGGTTACTCTTCAAGGTTTCTCCCTCTGTATCGCTCGACAAAACGGTAATTAACGAATGAATAACGGTTCAAAGCAACCGTTTGTTGATACTTCCTCCATCACTTCACATCAGGCAAGAATTGCAGTATCAAATACCATTTGTCATATTTGTTTAGACGATAAATTGTTTTAAAGATAAAATTAATTTGGCAGGTTATTTAGATAAATCTGCGAGGTCATCATGACCGATGAAGTAAAATTAGCGCAAAGCGCTAGTGCAGGAGAAGATACCATTATCGGTAAAATATTGAGAAAGGAAATTCCATGCAATTTCATTTATGAAGATGATAAGGTACGAACAAAGTCCCAAATTATTAAAAATGATCATAATTTGTAATATTTCGTTTATAGTGCGCCGCCTTTAAAGATATCAACCCTCAAGCCCCGGTGCACTTCCTCGTAGTTCCAAGAAAACCTATCCAACAGTTGTCGAAGGCAACTGATGATGACAGTGACATACTAGGTTTGCAAAACTAATTCAAATTGATATTACACATACAAATATTAATTGTATATGTGTCAGCCAATGTACCAGGCATTATTTGTTGTTTATTATGATTATGTATACACAATATTCATTATTGTTTATCATCAGGTCATCTCATGTTAGTTGCACGCAAAGTAGCTAAAGAACAAGGCTTAGATAATGGATTTAGACTTGTTGTCAATGATGGACGTGATGGAGCACAATCGATTTATCATTTGCATCTCCATGTAATGGGAGGACGTCAAATGCAATGGCCACCAGGATAATAAAATAAAACATACTCTTTGTATGTTTGATGAAATAAATGAAATAAGAAACTGTTATTTTGTTTTTAAACAACCAAATACTAAATACCAAGGAATAGATAAAGATTATAATGTATACACTTTGAGAAAGTTTTGCAGAATATAAACAAGTATGAAAAGTAATAAATGATATTAAAATATGTGAAAGTAAAGCTTAAATTGATGAGTTATTTGTTGCAGGGTAGCACTACAAATGTGCAACTTTAGTTTCTGCTTTATAAGTTATTTTGCAGATACAAATACTGTTCTAAACATAATTTATTACCATACAATGATATATTTAAAAAAATTGGATTCCAATGTCAATCTTATTACTTTTTAACAAATGGTACCTACTTATATGAAACTGACTGGATATTCTAATAACCAAATCTAATCTTATTGACTTCCATAATATTGTTAATACCTACATACTAAAAATGAAGCCAATAAATAAATAATAAAACAAAATCTCATTTAAAATCTAATCTATTAACATAAATCTTAATTAAAATCATATTTTATTTTATGGATCTTGCTGATAATTTTTTCAAATCATTTTTGTACTATATCTTGTACACCGAACAAACCCCTTGTCCAAACCAAATTGTGTCTAAGTTTGACAGCTTGCTAGAATTTTTACTACATTTTAAGTAGTTTTACATGCTAAGTCAATATATGCATTGGTGTGATATTATTTATAAAATAGTTTATACATCAAAGAATACTATAAAAACAAGTAATAATGATAATATTGCTATATTTAATTTATATTTCTGAAAGCGCAATGTATGATACATTTTACACATGGGCAATTATCATAGATATAAGATGGCGCCAGGTTTTTCCTTTTTAGAATATTCCAGTTCTATAAATTGCGCCATTTACTAACCGCTTTCGTCATTTTGTGAGAAATCTCGTCGAGTTCAGGTGCTCGTTGGATTATTGTGATATTATTTAATTCGCCGGTTCGATATCTTCAAATAAGGTGAGTAACAAATTCATTCCTCTATGTGTCATAGACATTTCCTGAATACTATAAAGTGAATTGGATTATATATAATTGAGATTTATGTTTTTGTGTATATCTTGCGTCAGTTGTATGGTAGAGCTAAAGTGTAAATTCGGTGGCTACTTTTATTTTTACGTTTGTATTCACTTGCTATTTTGATTTCCTAGGTTAATAATACTTAATTGCAAAATGTGGCATTGGCAACGTGTTTTATGCAATTTGTAAGTTAATGCATTGAGTGCTTCTATTTGATGATTTAATTGTTTATTTTAGACATCATGCCTGTGCCAGACATCCAAAAACCAGCTCCTGAATTTGCAGGTACTGCTGTAGTTAATGGTGAATTTAAAGACATTAAACTCAGCCAGTACAAAGGAAAGTACTTGGTACTATTCTTCTATCCATTGGACTTGTGAGTGATACTTTTGTAATCATAGTATCGACTACGTATAATAATTTTGTTCATTAGATATATTTGATTTATAGCACTTTTGTGTGTCCAACTGAAATCATTGCCTTTTCTGATCGCATTGATGAATTCCGCAAGATTGGATGTGAAGTTGTAGCAGCCTCTTGTGATTCTCACTACAGCCACTTGGCTTGGATTAATACTGCACGTAAGGAAGGTGGCCTAGGACAAATGAATATCCCCCTTCTTGCTGATAAATCCATGAAAATTGCTCGTGATTATGGAGTTTTAGACGAATCATCTGGAGTTCCATTCAGAGGCTTGTTTATCATTGATCCCAAACAAAATGTTAGACAGGTCACTGTTAATGACTTACCAGTAGGCAGATCTGTAGATGAAACCTTGAGATTGGTTCAGGCCTTCCAATTTACTGATGAACACGGAGAAGTTTGCCCAGCTGGCTGGAGACCTGGTAGTAAAACTATGAAAGCGGAACCAAAACTTTCTAAGGAATATTTTAATGCTGTAAATCACTAATTACAATTTATATATAATATACGTTTCTCGTTACTTTTATTTTACCACTGTTAATTCTTTAAGTGATAATAGGATAGTAATGTTCCGTACCTAAGTTTGAAACCATCAAGTATTTTATAGTTAATAAGCAAGCTTAAGTATTGTGTAAACCAAATGAAATCAATAAATAAACTAATTTATAAGGCGTTTTTATTTTAATCATTGCACCCAACACTTACCATTTCTTCCATGAATAAAAATTCAATTAGCATTCGACTCCCATAAACCAAAAATATCTAACCTTCATTCATAAAATCTAGTGTAGTTGATTATAAATCATTATTAATGTCTTTCTTGGTTTTGGGGAAGTAAAAATGAGCGTATTTTTATCTATGAATGGGTAACGTAAAAGCATTTTTATGATGAGTAGCAATGCGGAACTATAATCTATATAAATTGATAGATTATTTGATTATTTATTAAACCAGATTATATAAACTTTGCTTATCAGTTTTTGAATCGATAGCGTCATATCAGCAGCGTTGTAAGTGGGCAAGGTTATCTCAGGTTATTATTATTTATGCAAAACGATATTTCATAATTTCTTATTGAAGTGAAAATACATCTGATTCGTGGTTGAGCAATACGTAATTTCTTGTACACCTCTGACAATTACTTTTACCTCGTTTTTTTCAATGAATCGATAGAAAAATAAGCAAGTCATAGCTTACAATGTAATTTAAAAGTTTCAGTCGCCAATCAATCAATAAATTACCGTGTTTCGTTTTGTTTGGGTTATTTTGTAAAAATCAATTTTTTGTCAATCGACACGCAAACGGAATAAGGAAATAATTCGTAACCAATTTATTTTTCGGTTATCGCAATTATCAATGTATATTGTGATATATTTGTATCGTGAGTTTATTTTTGATAGTTGTTTAGGTAATGAATTTAAAGGGTTGATGGTCATTGACCTAGGTGCATCTGTTCTAAATCCATAACAATGTATTTACAAGCTTTTTTAGCAAATCGAAAAATATTTAGAAAACAAGTAATAGATATTCAATAATAAAGCATTATGGACATTTTATGAACTACGCGTGTTGGTTTTCCAAAAATAATAAACTCATGTAATTTCTTCAACAATCTTATATTAAAATTCTAAATCACATTTTATTAGGTATACTATACAGTACTTGATACCACAAAGTTTAATAAACTCAGTTTTTTTCTCTAAATTATATAAAATTAAACAATTACCAAAACCATTTTGATATAACTTATAATTTTTGTGTATGATATAAACATGAATATAATATGCCTCGATTGATATATTGATGATAATTTTTACTACAAATTAAAGAATTTTTGTATAAGTAAGTAAATTTAAATTCTAAAAGTAATTAATATGTAACATTTGAAAATATCTTATTGGTCAACATGTTTTACCTCTAAAAATAAAAATATTTGAGTTTGCCGAGTACATTTTGTAAAAGACTTTCCCTAAACACTTCTTAAAATTTTAATATTTGTCACATACATTCTTATGGTAATTTGGGCGCATTGAAAACATATTCGCAGTAAGTCTGTTACGAAATCAGTTCAAATATATTTTTATTTCATATCATTCTATGGCATAAAATAACCAATAAATAGTATTAAATAAGGTAAAGCTAACAGGAAATACTACTCTGCTATATTTATCTATAATATTCACATCGGTTATTTTAGGCATTGAATTTCGTAGGACGTTTGCACTCTTTTTCAATGCGTGGAACATTTTAGGCTTGTGGCGCGATCCTGTAAGTAAAAAACATAAATTATTTGAAAATTGAATTCAGGACCAGTCTCGTTTCCGCAATTTTTAAATAAATTTAACACTTTAGGGACGGCACCGATTTCAAAACAATCTACTTTACCGGCTGTAAACTTGATTTCATTGTGTATGTTATGCAATTTGTTTGATAAAAATTTGTGGTCATTGAAGGACATACATTTTTAATATTAATTTATTTTTGATCATTTTATAAAGAATGGTGACGTTCAAAACAATTTCCAAAATGCATAGCTGGTTGATTTTGACATGTTTTACAATAAAATGTTGTTCGCCGCCTCCTCCTGGTGCTTTTCTATCAGAACAGACAATACAATCCCTTTTTCTTTTAGAATTTAGAATATGCCACTGATTAGTCAGTATATTTGGTCATTTTTTGCTGCCATAATGGTTTATTTTTTCTATTATATTGTTTAATAATTCATTTATAAAATATAAAGTAAAATGATCTATTGGATGTCTTATATTGCTTGGTATTTGTAGTCGTGGTGTTTGTTGATGTATGTCAAACTCGATTATTGAAGGAGAATCGGCACATTCGCTAATGTCTTATTCATTTATTTTGTCAAACTTCTTCTTTTTGTTGGTTGGATAATATCATCATCACATTCATCACTATCACCGGTGCGAATAGTAATTTCGTAAATTTGTCTGTATGAATGTCTATTGAAACTCATCTTCACTACTGCTTAATTCACAAATTTACTAGTCGTTTTGTCATATTTAAAAGCGCTCGGTCGTTTTAAATATAAAAAAAGACATATAGCAAAGAAAAAGGCTAAAAATACTACTAAAATAATTTAAAATTATTTCAAAATACAATACTGTTATCACTGCTATATGTAATTTATTCAACTTTTCGATGCAAACTGAGTCATTGTTTTTAAAATAGCCTGTATCTAACAGAGTACTGTTTGTCCACTGAGGTGGACAGCCGTCCCCAAAGTGTTAAGGATATTTGAAACAAAGACCATCGGGAACTCATATAAATTTTTA